CTGCTCCTCCTATCGGTCTTAACATGGTTCAGCACCTCGTATGCGGCATCGAGCGTCGCAATCTCTGCTTGTTGTGCAGCCGCCTCTGCAGCCTCGCATTCGGTCACGGCAGCCTTAGCTTCATTGTTGGCTCCCCTCGCATCTCGTAATGCCTTGCTCAGTGTCACAGCCTCCGCGCCAAGCTTTTTTAAAGCCATCTCTGCTTCTTTCTCAAGCCCAGCTGCCTTCGTCGCACTTAGTTTAGCTTGCACACAATGCTGGTTGGCCTCATCCACCTCCTCCCGCGCCTTAAACATCGCCTTGAATGCCCAGTCAAAAGCCTCTTTCATATTAGTCGGTATCGCCGAAGCATTGACATCCTCAGTGGTATTAGTAGCTGTATCATCCGCCGCACACACGGAATTGGGAAAGCAGCAGCAGAGCGCAAAAAACAGCAGGGCACACAAGAAAGGGCGCATCACCATCACCGCCAGCATCGCAAAAAGTGGACTTGCTTAACACTGTGAGGCCAACCTTTGACGGCATGGGAGAGCAAGGAGAAACACGGCCACTACTCCAAACACACAGCAGCCGCACAGCAGCAGCAGCAGCACACACACACAACATGAGGCTGATGGAGCAGATGAAAGAAGAAAATATACAGACATAGGCCTGCAGCAAAAAACAAAAAAACCAGAGAACTGCACCCAAAGACCCCAGTGCGCATGCACTCATCCACAAATATGCCTCTACAAAAACAGTCGTATGCGTGTCATGCATACGCGTACTTCTGGGGCGTGTGCCGCGTGAAGAATGTGCGGAACAACACAGAGCACACAGAAGGGCAGCAGAAGCGCGCAAGATATCTTTTAAAAAGTTCCTACTATGGCATATTTCAATGTTTCACTTGTGTTGGTATATAAAAGTATATACATGTGTGTACACATGTGTAAGAATCCCCCACAGCGTGTGGGCAAGTGTTTCTCGCCGTGGAAGAAAAAGAAAAGTTACTTACAATCGCCCCGCACCACGCACAGCAAAATATTTCAAAAATTTCTCAACACAAAAAAACACTCGCAGTAGTAAAACACGGCGGCCTTTTTTAGTTTATTTTTAAATGTTTTTTTTCCTCTTTTCCTCTTACAAAAAAACCACAAAAGTAAAAAAAAAGGGCTTAGAACAAATGGACTCACCGCGCTGGGCAGCACGCCATCGCCTCGGTTATGCCGCCTAGCACAATAAGAAGCCGAAAAAGGATGCCACGGCAGCAAGCATCAGAAGCGGTGCACGCAAAAGCAATGGAATGCCGCCGCCATCCACCCGCGGTCTCGTCCTTTGAAGGCGAGTGGATGTGGAATTCCTGCCAAGCGCCGCGTCATTCCCCTTCCTCGCGGCAAATTTCTTCATCACCTCAGCAATGGCAGCCTTCTTCGCGGCCTCCGCCGCCTCCCGGTCCCTCGCTCTTCGTATCTCCTCCTCCCTCTCCCGCTGCCGCAGCAGCGCACTGGCCGTTGCGGCAACGTCTTGTGCCAAGGTCCGCGCCGCTGCCGCCTTCTCTGCTGCTTCCAGGGCTTTCTGCGCCGCCGCTGCCGCCTTCTCAGACTCCGCCTCCGCCTCCTTTGCCTTCTTTACGGCAATTGCAGTATGATTTGCCGCCTTGTCCAAAAGATCCCCTGTTCTGGAATTCCTGCTCCTCCTATCGGTCTTAACATGGTTCAGCACCTCGTATGCGGCATCGAGCGTCGCAATCTCTGCTTGTTGTGCAGCCGCCTCTGCAGCCTCGCATTCGGTCACGGCAGCCTTAGCTTCATTGTTGGCTCCCCTCGCATCTCGTAATGCCTTGCTCAGTGTCACAGCCTCCGCGCCAAGCTTTTTTAAAGCCATCTCTGCTTCTTTCTCAAGCCCAGCTGCCTTCGTCGCACTTAGTTTAGCTTGCACACAATGCTGGTTGGCCTCATCCACCTCCTCCCGCGCCTTAAACATCGCCTTGAATGCCCAGTCAAAAGCCTCTTTCATATTAGTCGGTATCGCCGAAGCATTGACATCCTCAGTGGTATTAGTAGCTGTATCATCCGCCGCACACACGGAATTGGGAAAGCAGCAGCAGAGCGCAAAAAACAGCAGGGCACACAAGAAAGGGCGCATCACCATCACCGCCAGCATCGCAAAAAGTGGACTTGCTTAACACTGTGAGGCCAACCTTTGACGGCATGGGAGAGCAAGGAGAAACACGGCCACTACTCCAAACACACAGCAGCCGCACAGCAGCAGCAGCAGCACACACACACAACATGAGGCTGATGGAGCAGATGAAAGAAGAAAATATACAGACATAGGCCTGCAGCAAAAAACAAAAAAACCAGAGAACTGCACCCAAAGACCCCAGTGCGCATGCACTCATCCACAAATATGCCTCTACAAAAACAGTCGTATGCGTGTCATGCATACGCGTACTTCTGGGGCGTGTGCCGCGTGAAGAATGTGCGGAACAACACAGAGCACACAGAAGGGCAGCAGAAGCGCGCAAGATATCTTTTAAAAAGTTCCTACTATGGCATATTTCAATGTTTCACTTGTGTTGGTATATAAAAGTATATACATGTGTGTACACATGTGTAAGAATCCCCCACAGCGTGTGGGCAAGTGTTTCTCGCCGTGGAAGAAAAAGAAAAGTTACTTACAATCGCCCCGCACCACGCACAGCAAAATATTTCAAAAATTTCTCAACACAAAAAAACACTCGCAGTAGTAAAACACGGCGGCCTTTTTTAGTTTATTTTTAAATGTTTTTTTTCCTCTTTTCCTCTTACAAAAAAACCACAAAAGTAAAAAAAAAGGGCTTAGAACAAATGGACTCACCGCGCTGGGCAGCACGCCATCGCCTCGGTTATGCCGCCTAGCACAATAAGAAGCCGAAAAAGGATGCCACGGCAGCAAGCATCAGAAGCGGTGCACGCAAAAGCAATGGAATGCCGCCGCCATCCACCCGCGGTCTCGTCCTTTGAAGGCGAGTGGATGTGGAATTCCTGCCAAGCGCCGCGTCATTCCCCTTCCTCGCGGCAAATTTCTTCATCACCTCAGCAATGGCAGCCTTCTTCGCGGCCTCCGCCGCCTCCCGGTCCCTCGCTCTTCGTATCTCCTCCTCCCTCTCCCGCTGCCGCAGCAGCGCACTGGCCGTTGCGGCAACGTCTTGTGCCAAGGTCCGCGCCGCTGCCGCCTTCTCTGCTGCTTCCAGGGCTTTCTGCGCCGCCGCTGCCGCCTTCTCAGACTCCGCCTCCGCCTCCTTTGCCTTCTTTACGGCAATTGCAGTATGATTTGCCGCCTTGTCCAAAAGATCCCCTGTTCTGGAATTCCTGCTCCTCCTATCGGTCTTAACATGGTTCAGCACCTCGTATGCGGCATCGAGCGTCGCAATCTCTGCTTGTTGTGCAGCCGCCTCTGCAGCCTCGCATTCGGTCACGGCAGCCTTAGCTTCATTGTTGGCTCCCCTCGCATCTCGTAATGCCTTGCTCAGTGTCACAGCCTCCGCGCCAAGCTTTTTTAAAGCCATCTCTGCTTCTTTCTCAAGCCCAGCTGCCTTCGTCGCACTTAGTTTAGCTTGCACACAATGCTGGTTGGCCTCATCCACCTCCTCCCGCGCCTTAAACATCGCCTTGAATGCCCAGTCAAAAGCCTCTTTCATATTAGTCGGTATCGCCGAAGCATTGACATCCCCAGTGGTATTAGTAGCTGTATCATCCGCCGCACACACGGAATTGGGAAAGCAGCAGCAGAGCGCAAAAAACAGCAGGGCACACAAGAAAGGGCGCATCACCATCACCGCCAGCATCGCAAAAAGTGGACTTGCTTAACACTGTGAAGCCAACCTTTGACGGCATGGGAGAGCAAGGAGAAACACGGCCACTACTCCAAACACACAGCAGCCGCACAGCAGCAGCAGCAGCACACACACACAACATGAGGCTGATGGAGTAGATGAAAGAAGAAAATATACAGACATAGGCCTGCAGCAAAAAAAAAAAAGATCATCATTTGTCTTGTTTTATCCATTAACCCACAAGAGAGGAACAACAATCACTGCAGTTGAGTGCCGGCACTCACAGCACACAATTCCCCTCAGCAGAGACTGCTGTAAGCCAGCACGGACACCGCAAGCACCAGCGGGGCATAAACCCACGCAGGGCTGCTGTATCCTAAATCAAATTAAAAAGCATATGAAGGTACGCGGGTGGTCCTCGTAGTTTGCGCCTCTGTAGTCGTAATGCTTGGCGCCTCCGTGGTCGTCGTGGTTTTTTTTTCTACTCTTACCAGCGCGTCTAGCTATACAGTGCCATCTGAGTGCCGAAGAGGTGGTCGAGCAACGGCAAAAGTTTCCTGCTATGAAGCAACTGCCATGGAGAGAACTTTCCGAGGCGAAAGTCCTGTTCAATGCCCAGCCGTTGACGCACAGCCAAGGTGCCTGGACATTCTAGAAGCAGATGGTGCAAGGTTTCCTGCGGGCCGATTGGCGTGCTTGTGGAAGCTGGCTGATCCTGCGGCAGCAGAGATCGCCGCATGGCACTGTTGTTTCGATGCCGTGTGGCGTCTGGGCTGTGTGCGCAGCGACTTCTGTGCTGTGCGGTGCTTCTCCGTGTGGGGAAAACCATGTCACAGAAATCACATTTGAGCTCGGAAAGCGGTGGAGGATGTTCCGGATGGAATGACCGACAGTGACTGACGAGACCCGAGAATCCCGTCAATGTGGAATCACAGTGCGGACATTTCTCCTTCCGACGGCGTGTGACGGTCCGTCCCCTTACTGGAGAGACGTCTTCCTCCCTTGCCGACGGGGGACATTGTCCGTCCCCGGTGCAGTTGGATCGTTGTTAGAGCGCATATATGCAGACTGTTCCGGTGAGATGTTGCAGAAACGGCATTGGTTTGTGCAATCTCTCACGGCCCAGTATAGTCGGCCCCAGAGCTCAGATTCCCCGCACCTTGCCCTTGCGAGGTGAACCAGTTCCTGACGGTGTCGAACTTCCTGAGTGATCAGGTCCTTACCGCTGAGATCGGATGGCCTTGTACCGCAAAGCAAGTAGCGATGAGTGTCTTGACAAATGGTACTACGCCACTTGTTGGTGAGCTGGGTAGTAAAACATGTCAGCAGATCCGTATGCCACAAAGGTGCTATTCCTTTCCGTGTATTGTCCACTTTCCATAGTCTGCGTCGCATACTGATCTGCAAGCTCGTTAGCATGTACTCCACAATGTCCGTAACAAAACTGCAGGTGCACGGACCAGCCGGCAAACGTCAGTGTCAAGAGACGCTGCCAGATCTGATCCTCCGTCCAGCCTGTCTGACTGAGCGGGCCCTTGTTTAGAGCCGCTAGAAGAGACTGACTGTCCGTAACCACAAGCAGGGCTTTTGCCTGTGCTGGATACGATGGATACTCAGCCTTTCCATGGCCGGGAGCAGTGCACGGGATTCCGTCCTGTAGCTGCATGGGCGCGCACCGCAATTTATACTGGCCTTTTCTATTATCTCCGATGAGTTGAGGGATGAAAGCAGTATTCCAACCCCTGCTGACTTGGGAACGTCGACACCGCCATCGGTCGCAAGTATCCACGAACGATGGCTGTGCAGCGCTAGAGCCTCTTCGCTGACCCTGCGCTTTTCCCTTACCAGCTCTTCTTCGTCAGTTATTGAGTGGTCTATCGGAAGTTCCACGCCGATGGTAGCCCGGTGAGCGGAGGCCGCAAACCAGGGAGGAATGGAGCTGCGAAAGAACCGCTCTTCGCGTGGTGAGCTCTCGGTGATGCCATAGTCCTTTGTGTATGCGTCTGCAAAGGCATATAGCTCGTCCCGAGATAATGGCGAGATGCGGAAACCAGCGCGAGGCGGTGGCTCGGGCGGGGGTCTCCGCATCCAGTCCATCTGACATGCGCGTGTGTTCTCAAATATGGAGAGCCGTGCGCGCAGGCAAAGGACGTGGAGCGGCGGCATATTAGCCTCCAGTAGCGCGGATTCCGGGTCGACAGTGCTCGGAACTCCGCTGACAATGCGTGCTAGAGTTGCGTACGTCTTTTGCATCTCATTCTTCGCTGAATCCGTCGCTACTGCCCATATGAGCTCGCTGCCATAGCGTAATTTGGAGCACCGTATCCAATGACGAACGTGCGTGGGTCATGTGGAGATGGTCCCGCCTCTTTGTGCGCTATGCAGCGTAGCTGCGATATCCGTTGCGAAGTGGCAGCGCATTGCTTGGTGGCCGCCACATTTAGCGTCAGTCGTGGATCGAGATCCATGCCGAGAAGCTTCGTAGTTCGCGATGCCCCCATGGTCATGACTGGGATTTGACATCCAGCCACTACCAGGGGCCACTTTCCTTCGCGATCATAATCTGACTCCGTGTGCGTGGATAGTGTGAACCAAGCAGCTTCACACTTTGACGGGTTGATGGCCAGGCCATTTTCCTGACTCCACGCATGCAGCTTTTTAAGAACCATGTTGGCAGTGGGAATGGCGTCTTCCCGGGACTGCCCCTTAACGATAATGGAGAGGTCGTCCGCATACATGTCTGCTGTGACACCCGCAAAGCTGTTCAGCAGATTGAGAAGTGGGCGTACGTAAAGGGAGAACAAATACGGTCCCAGCACGGACCCCTGAGGAACTCCTCGCAGCATGGGACGCCGATCGCTGTGTCTGTGGCCAACTCGTGTCTTCGCGTGGCGACCACACAGAAAGTTTCTAAGCCACCTTCTACAATTCACCCCCGGAATATTAGCCAGCAAGCGACTGAGGACTCGATGATCTATGGAGTCAAAAGCCTTGCTGAAATCAACCAGCACCAGCAGAGTCCGATGGGGTCTGTAGTGGAGTTGATTGCCAATACCGCTCTTCTTGGGAAGGCTCACTTGGAAATAGTGATTTCTATTATGCTCCACTTCGTGTATCAGGTGTGCCAGCCGCATCGTCGTAGTACGCATACTACGATATGCATACTGGTGGGGGTGCGGCGTCCACACCCAAAGTAATCTCTTCAGTACCATTTTCTCAGCAACCTTACTCACAATGGAGGTAAGGCTGATGGGTCGATATGACTCAAGCAGTTCCGGCGACCTACCGGGTTTTAAGAGTGGAAAGATGGTAGCGCGTCTCCACTCAGCCGGAATCGTACCGGTCGTCCAGCTGCGGTTAATGCAGCGAAGAAGGAATCGGAGGCCCTTTGACGAAATATGTCGCAGTGCCTCACTGTAGACTTCATCCGGTCCGGGGGCCTTGCCATACGGCGTATTACGTAGCGCAGCAAGCAGTTCCGTACGATTAAAAGGTGCATCAAGAGGGGAGTGAAGATGAGCAACTAAACCAGATGTGGTGGCAGCTTCGTTTTTATCCTGTGGCTCAGAACTAGATGAGAGTGAAGAACCTGAAGTAAATGTAGCGGCAGACTCGTTGTTGTTCTGCGGCCCAAAAAGAGAAGAAGAATTAATGTTCAAAGATGCACTCTGTCTGTTGATGCCTTTGGAAAACATAACTGCCTTGTGAGAGGGGTGAAATGGAAAAAAGATGCGATTGAGAGCATTCGCTGCTCTCCTTGCTGTTTTGTAAGTGTGTTGACCATCTCCTAATAACATTGATGTGGGAGATGGAAGTGATGCCCTTTTTCGTCCGGAAATGTATTTCCATGCGAGTGGCTCGCCTGGATTTAACTTGCTGATGCGGCGTAGATACGTGTTGCGCAAGCGCTCTCGGAGTAGAAGGAAGAATTGACTCCTTGTCCGTTGCATTTCTGCCTCACGGTCGGGCGTCGGTAACTGTAGATAGCGGGCCTTGCTGTCGGTAGCCATCCGCTCTGCCTCCATGAGAGTGTCGTCCCAAAGCCTGGGACCGTCCTTGTGCATGCCGCGGGGGCAGTGTCGTCGATACGAAGTTATAAGCGCTCTCGTGAAAGCTTTGATGCCGGTGGACTGCTTTTTATAGTCGTATGCCGGAAGTTGTGCGTCGAAGTCCTTGATGAATAAATCCCACTTGCACTTCCCCCAACTGTAGAAAAACTTAGGTGCCGAAGGGGGTGCCGAAGGTATGGTATCCTTAAATGCCTGATGCAGCGTAAATGTCAGCATATAATGATCACTAAGCGGCGACACGGAAGCTGACCAATCCGACACAGTCAAATGCTTTGACCATGTCAGATCGATACAGGATCGTTCTCTTGTGCCGCGGGCATACGTGATCTCACCAGGGGTGTTAACCAAGGTGAGTCCCGCATCCGTGCACAGTTCTAAAAATTCTGCGGCAACCTCGCTTGGAGAAGTCCCCAAGAATGGCTCCCACTGTGGGTGATGCATGTTGAAATCCCCGCACAGCAGGAGCGGCGACGAGGCTGGAAGGCAGTTTACTAACCGCCTGAAGAATTGCGTTGCTTGCGGTGGTGGTCTCATATAGGCAGTCGCCACAATAAGATCACGGTTCTGGTCCAGAGCAACCTGGACCACCACCAATTCAAGACTGGTGTCATGCTGGGGGATGGTGAGAGGTATACGCTTGGAGCGGAGAGTTTTCCGCACCAGCACCGCCACACCGCCTCCCTTGCCGATGCGCGACTGTGCATAGAGCAAATAATTTCCAGTGTGCATGCTGGCGATCCGCTCGGACGACCTCCAAGTCTCCTGGATGGCTATTATGTCTGCTCCTTGCGCCATTAATGTTGCGAGTTTTGACGGCGTGAGACAAGAAACGTTCATCTGGAGTACTGCTATGGGGCCTGGGTGCTGCTCAATGTCTCCGCTTAGCAGTAGCTTTTGTCGTTGCGCGTCACATACGGCACGCAAACGGTATGTATAGCGCTGATAAGCGCCGATGGAATTCAGCAGCGGATAGAAATACCGCTCCGCGGGCAGCCATGTAAATGGCTCCATCTGGTGCCCTTCCGACCAGTTTGTGCTTCGTCTGCCATCCCTCTCCGCGTGCAGCGGATGGGCGGCAGGCGCTTAGCTTCCTCTCTAGCAAAGAGAGCTAGACCCTGGCACCACGTTGAGGTGGCCGGCTGAGCCAGGGGGTCGTCATGGTCGTTGTTGTTGTTGTGGTGGTGGTGGTCTTTGTAGTCGTGGTGGTGGTATAATCGTCATTACCACTCGCTGTCACGCACACGGACGGGCAGCAGCACAAGGCAAGCACCAACAGGGCGCACAGTAGACGGCGCGTCGTCATTATCGTAATTTTATTATTGATGGCTTAGCTGATGTGAATTCTTTTTTGTTTTTCAGCAGAGCAGCAAGAGGAATAAAAAAGAAGGATGCTTGTTGGCAGTGACACGCCTTTACAATTGAGTGTAAAGTGTGACCGTCACAGTTACATCAAAATGAAGCGACCTTCTGCAATGGAAGTACATCTGCGGTTGTGCATCGCCAATGTATGATCACTTCTTTTCAAGCCGCTGCTTCTTGAAAAAAAAAAAAAAAAAAACATGCTTACTTTTTTGCTGCAAATCAAGAAATAAACTGCCTCTGTTGAATAAAGGAGATGAAAATAATGATAATATTGATAAGAAGGCAAAGGGCACACAGCGTCTTTTCGTTTTTTCCCCTCCACTCCATTATAGTACCCGAAAGTGTGACCAAAAAAAAAGCTTCAGCGTAAGCCGCATGATGCCCTGTCGGCCCCATATGCAAGCATGTCACCAATCACTCGTTTGCAAGGACCTCTCTTTATCTTCTATGTACGTTGCTTTGCCTCCGTGTTAACGTAATAGTGGCAGCCACTCTCTGAATCCCCAACTCCTTCCACGTCCCAGAAATCCATAGCGCACCTTTTGTTTTCGAAGGAATCCTTTCCTGCACTTCGTGCTGCTTCCACTGTGGAGCTGCACCAGCCCTCTTCATTTCAAGAGGCTCGGCTTGCGTTTTCCCCCTCTCCTCTTGCGTGATCATCTCCCTGCATCATTTTCTCCCATCTCTCGCTGGCGTAGCTCCCTCCATTGGCCGTGCAAAACGCCACCACCTTCTGCTGGCGTCGCTGAGAATGTCTCTGCCGCATTTGCTGCTGTTGCTTCTGCAGGAGAGGGGTGTCTCTCCACTAGCGTCTGCAACTCAATTTCGACCGCCTCTTCTTTCCTCCGCGACAATTCCGAGTCCCGATCTTCTCGTGCCAGAGCCTCTGAGGTCAAAAGGCCGTCGGCGGAGAATTGTTGCTGCCGCTGCTGCTCAGTCTTACGCTGTGATCCCATCCGACGTGCCCCATTCAACTCCTCATTGTTCTCCATCTGCGTGCCAATTGACGCCAAGGCTGGTGTGACTGCCTCACTCTCCTTCCTTTCCTCACGCTTCACAGCGACGTCGGTCGACAACATGCCTCCAGAAGATCGCTGCTGTGTGCGCAATGCCTGTGGCGGCTGTTCGAGTCTTGCGTACCCGCCATCGCACACTGTCTAAAAAGCCTATTTTCCGCCCATGTCTTGTGGCCCCTTGCAAGGCTTCTGCTGGCCGTCACGGGAGGAGGGGCACTGTTGGTGGCCGTTACCTGCTGGCGCGAAGACAGGGGGCATTTGCCTCCTCCATAAGACGGAGGGCACGGATGCACCTTCCTTGAGACTCAAACAAGACGTTCCTTTTCTTCTCCTTTTCCACAAGATGCAGAAGCCCATGCATCGCAGAGGCTGTCTCCGCCTCGCTCCGGCAGGAAATTGCGTCACGGAGTGAGCAAGACGCGAACCGTGCGTGGCAGAGGCGAGGCCCCCACGTCCGCCGATGTGCCTGCGGCGATGTGGCGAGGCAGCGGCCGTAAGTTTGAGCGTGGCGCAAAAAAAGACAATCCGCGCGACAGCGGGCGAGTTGCCCACCGCCCCTCATTTCTCGGAGAGGTGGCGTACGACGAACGGGGCGGCACGCAAGAAATGGCCTCAAGCATTCGAATACGCCGCAGCACTTCGCCCCTCGGACCACCCCGCTGAATCACGGGCACACGCGTCGACAAAGTCAGCGGGAAACGGCTTCCTGCAGAGGGCACCGGCAACGACCAGTTTTGCACGAACCACTGCCCCGCGTCCTGCACCGGGGACGCAAAGGGTCGCGTCCGCAAAACACAGGAGCTGCAGCGCGGTGGTGATCCCGTCCGCCGCCAAGACGTCCTCGACCTAAGAAGGAAAAATGCCTGAATGCGTGAAGAAGGCAAAGTAGTACGGCACCCGGTCCACCTTCCTGAACACGTGGCGGCGTCTCTCCCGCAAGTTCCGCCAGCTCAACTCAGCACGGAGCCCGCGTTCAGTGGGTCGGTAGACCGACAGGGACTCCCGCGTGAGGCGCACCACCGCACGCTCAAACGGTCTCGCACAACAGCCGCGCAGGCCCTATCGTGGGTATTTGAAAACGACAATGCCGCCACCGATGCCCCCAGGCCCACGAACCCGCCAAACTAGAATGTGGAACACGCCACAAATGCACGCATGCTACTGGGCGGTATTGGCTGCTGCTCGTGAGGATGGCTCATCTCCGCAGCGCCCTGCCTCTACACGGCCACTTCGTATAAATCAACAAAAAAGAATGAGAAATTTCAGCAACGTCTCCCGTAAGCTTGCGGAACGCCAACAACGCAAATAAAGTGGATGGACAGCGAGAAGTAACCGGCATCAAATAGAAAGAGAAAAACAAAACAAAGCAAAAAAAAAGCCCAGTAATAATTAAAGAAACAAAAAAAAAAAACGATTAAATGTGAGGAGTGGGAGAAGACTCACCCACCCCCCTCACGGCCTTTCTCATTGCCGCGTCACTGCAGCTAACCCTCATTCAAAGACGGCGCTACCGAGGAATCTTCACATAGGCGTGACGCGCGTAGGATGTTAAGGTATACACACATGCCAACGGCATTTGTCTCCGTCGTGCCGTCCATTATCTGACAGCGGCCCAGTTCCACGCAGTCCAGCATAAGTATGTTTCCGTGTGTGTTTATCCCTGATGGAATCATCACCTTCATACCATCCAAAAGCCCATTTGCATTCAGCAAATAAAACCACTCAAGCAGGGACGGGTTCACACGTGTTGCCACGTCATAAATACTCGAGGCAACCTTCCTTGATATCTTTGGTAAGATACCAATAAAAATGTTACTCTTGCGTGGCGTAAAGACAGCCTGTGTAACGTGCAGTTTTGAAGGCACGCCAGTCTGGGGATACTTTAGATCGTCCAGTAGCAAATTATCGAGGGCCTCCAGCAGCTTACTCAACGAACCCTGATCTACCCATCGAGATACCATACATTTAGAGCGAATCCGCGCCGCGGGGTATGGCAACCCATTCTCTCCACTGCTCACCACAAGAAAGATGCGACGCCTGGACGAGACCCTCCACAAAATTTCCAACGGCGTTGTGAGCGGCACATTGACGAGTATAAAGCGATCTGAAAGGCGGTCCAACTCCCCAAGAAACTTACCCTTCCCGTCACTGTCATCCGTGAGATATAGGTGTTGAAAATCCAGCACAATAAATTCATTCGCAGAGGAGGGGTCATTGAGAAACGCCTTCACATCTTCAATCACATCAGCCAGAGGCACAGAGATTTGGGTGTGTGATATGTACAGTCGGCTGGCGTCCTCTGGGTTTGTCGCAACGCGCAGGTCCAGATAGCGCACACCGTAGTCCAGCTGCGCGCGTACAGACATCCCTTGACACTTTGACCAAGATGCACAGATCCCGCGAAAAAAGAAGCGTGACAGAGAAGCAAGCACCGAGTCACCAAGAAGAAACCCCGGCGCGTCCGCAACAAATGGTGAATCCTTGCGAATGCCGTACGATGCCGCGTTGTGAGAGCCTAAAAGACACAATTGTGTTATGGCCATTTCGCCAATAAACGAGCGCAGGTCATGCATCCAGCTCTGCGGATGCCATTCGGTGTTTGTGAAGTCGTCACTCTCCGGCAGCATGTATAGCAGGAATCACGAGTGCTGGCGCCAAACATCCCAGAAAACAAAAAAGATGCAATGAAGGTAGACACACACAAAAATAGAAAAGGGGAGGACACACCATGGGCCATGTGAAAAAAAGTGCTTCAGGCATGACACGCCAGGCAGTAGTCACATAAGAAACCACTCCACTCCTAACCGTTTTTCCCGTTTCTGTTTACCCTGCGTATGTAATAAAAAAATAGATATAACAATATATATTGAGGTGGAATAACAATAACACCGTAATACAAGCCGGTCCCCTGACAGCAGTGGTTTGCCCGGCGATCATACCCAAAATAAGAAGGGGAAAAGCAGATGAACTCAATAATAATAACAATAATAATAATAATAATAATAATAATAATAATAATAATAATAATAATAATAATAATAATAATAATAATAATAATAATAATAATAATACCTCAAATAAAAACCACAATAAAAAAAACGACTTTCTTTTCCCCCTCCACCCGCAGCACTCCTCGTGAATTTGGAGCCCAAACTTCACTCCGACACAAACGAGCGCTTAACGCTGAAGGCAAGTTTGCCCTGGCTGCTGTCCAACAACACCCTCACAGTGCTGTTCGGCGGAAGCTGCTGCGCAAGAATCATGCGGCTCACCTCGGTGGTGATGTATTTTTCAACCCAGCGGCGCAGCGGGCGGGCGCCCATTTCGGCATCAAAGGCATTCTCCAGAACAAAATTTTTCGCCTCATCGGTTACTTCCAGCAAGATGTCCTGGGACCTCAGCCGTCCGTTCACCTCCGCAACAATAAGATCAATGATTTCGTGAAGCTCCCCAAAGCCCAGCCTGCGAAAAAGTACAATGTCGTCAAGGCGGTTGAGAAATTCCGGGCGGAAGTAGCTGCGCACCACCTGCCAGACCTTCTCACGCGTCGCCTCCAATCCCTTTGGTGAATTCCCCACGTGGACAAGGTGCTCAGACCCGAGGTTGGACGTCATGACGACGATGGCATTGCTGAAATCAACGGTCCTTCCGTGCGAGTCCGTCAGCCGGCCGTCGTCCAGCACTTGCAGCAAGACATTGAACACAGATGGGTGTGCCTTTTCCACCTCGTCCAGCAGCACCACTGTGTGCGGGCGACGGCGCACGGGCTCCGTCAGCTGCCCGCCTTCCTCGTGACCCACGTAACCCGGGTGGGTGCCCCATGAGGCGAGCGACGGCGTGCTGCTCCATGTACTCGCTCATGTCCATGGCGCACATATGCTTCTCGTCGTCAAAGAGCTCTGCCGCA